CAACGGATACGTTAAATTATTCAATTGCATAAGAGAAAATTATGATTTTACACATTTGTTTCACACTTTGGAAGTTTTCTGACTCGCCATTATCTTGGGCGTTAATTTTTGTACCCATTGCAGTTTCTGGATAAAAAATTTAGTTGGATTTAATTTGTGAAATGCGAAAATTTACCACAAATAATATCAAGGGTACAAAATGTCACGAATGGGTAAATATCAACAACTACAACTTTTTCTAATTTTTCGACCAGTTTGCTTTCGGCCGATTCAAATACGTCGATAAAGTGCTCCAAAAATGAAAAATGGAACGCTGGTGTTAACATTCTTCGATTTTGGGGCCCAAAAAATGTTGGTGAAATGTTACACATCTTCGAATTGCACTCTTTTCACCATCACTGTTTAAAATTTTCGTAGAACTTAAGACATTTTCAAGAAAATTGTAATCAGAAACTAATAAGGTTTTGTCTATGGGACCTCCGTGAAACTTGACAACGCCTCCGTAGGTTTTCATATGTTTCATCAAAATGTCCAACACAGCTGGAAAAGACAAAATATTTTGAAATCAATTTGCTATTTTTCAACTTCAGAAATTATGTTTTATTTAATTATTCGTCTATTCGTCTATTCGCGTATTCGTCTATTCGCGTTTTCGTCTATTCGTGTATTCGTATATTCGTATTCGTCTATTCGCGGATTCGTCTATTCGCATTCACAAAGTTTTTATTTTATTTATTTATATTTTTCCGTGAATCTTTTTTACAAAATTTTTTATTCGGAGACGTAGCCCGGCGCATCCACCATTTTCTAAGGAAAAGTTCAAGGATGCATAATTTAAGAAAATTAGTTTAAAACACTGGTAATGTTTAACAATATTGAGTACCTACCTATTAAAAGCGCATCTAAAGTAATTTTACAAACGAATTTAACAATTCCAATTACACAGAAGCAGTCTTAAACCTAGTCTACAGTTAGATATTGGTTTACAATCACTTAACAATGAATTATCATCGTGAGCCAGAAAAACTGAAAGGTAGCAAGTCACATATTTGAGAAAATGAGCAAAAATCATCGATTTTTTACGGTTTTAGACGACCCATTAAAAGTTGTTCGCATCTTGGCCCAAGATGTGTTTTATCTAAACTTTGTCAAATTGCTTTTAAAAATCTGTCTCTGTTACAACATAATTATAATTGGATTAACTGTATATCACTACATTTTTATTTTTAATGTATCTGAAATATGGAATTACAGCTGGCTTTTAATGCAATTTCCTTACGTAAGTTGTAATGTATTTAATTAGAATCACATTTTAAGTTTTTGCGTTTTTTCAAGTTCACACTTACTTTATACACTCATATAATTAAATCTGGTGTATTGGACAAAGCAATGAGTGTTGAATCACCCTGGAGTATTGATTCAGCTGGACAAGAGACGAAATTGAAAATCAAGAAAGAATCAAAGATGATTAATATTCTCACTTTCGTAAACACAGTGTTTGTAATTGTTAGTGTAATTTTCTTAAGTTATCCCCAAGACGGCGACGAGAAAATTATTTTCTTTTCGTACAAATTTCGTCAAGTGTTTCCATATCAAAACTGGATTTTTGGGATATTGACTAAAATAAATCTTTACACGATAGGACTTGCGACTCCCGCACACACATATCAAGTAAATTACGTATCACAACATTGGAAATTTCAGCTATATATCTTCAATAAGTACATAAAAGAATTAGATAACTATTCTACCAGAAGCAGCATTTCTTCTTTTACACGATGAAAGCTATCAGAAAGAAATTAGTGTCAGACTTAAATTTTGTATAAAAAGACATCAAGAAATTTTGCAGTAAGACACTAGTTTTTTGTGTTTTATACTCCATATAGATTTTTTCTTCAGTGTTCTAGATGAAGCAGTTAAAATAATGGCACCTTTTATTGTACCATTCACAGTGGCTGGTCTTTTTTTGATGACAGGTCAAGTTTTGTCGCTTCTTGAAGTAAAAAAAAAGTTTAGTAAAATATTCAAATCATTATTACAAAAGAATTAGATTTTAGACGGGGCTCCTATTCAATGGTGGCGAATTGCATGTTTAAGTGTTCCCATTTTAATTTGCAGTTCTTGTTTCTTTATAACTGGACAATCTATTGAATCAGAAGTAATAACATTTTTCTTTAACTGTGAAAAGTTTATACAGAGTTTCAGTCGGAGCGTATTTTGTCAACACTGATGCAATTAAATTGGTACAACTGGAATAACAAAAACAGGAAATTGCTTTTAATTGTTATGGCTAACAGCTTGAAGCCAATGCAAGTCAAATTTACAACATCTATAGTCTTAAATCATCGCACAGGACTCACTGTATGAAACCGTTTTTACAAATATTTTTTTATAAGACATTTTTAGTTGTGTAAAATGGTTTATTCGGCTGTTGGTGTTTTTACAACCGTTTTTTAATACAGAAAAAAGTTTTGGTGTTCTGCACAAGTATTGAACTAATAATCCAGACTTGTGTGGTCGGTTATTTCTGTTTATGTCTTACAATAACGAAGATTTTAACTCCTAATATCACTTCTTGTTGTTATTATAACTTGCTATTCACCTTTTGTGCACAACAATTTTTTAATGTGTGTAGAAATAAAACACAGTTGTAGCAGCAAAACATTTGTTTTAATCTTCAACCCAAAAAATAATCATAGTTTAAAATTCTCGCAACTACATTTTAGCAGAAGCTAAATTGTTAGATTTTTGTTTTTGGGATTTTCTGGTATTTTGGGTTTTTTACATCCAAACTTCAGAGTTGATAAACATATGGAAATTATATTCATAATTTGACAAAAATAACTTCATAATGTTAGCAATGGGACAATTATACAAACAAAGCTCGATAAGTCTTTAAAATTGTAGAAAAAAAATCATCTCTTTTATAATTATCTTATTAAAAATAACAATACATTTAATACTTAGCATAAAAATAAAACACTTTTCCAATAATAAAAATTTAATCGTAGTACTAAATTGGTGAAGAAATTATGTTACTTTAGTTTTAATGAGAAAAAATTTTCTACCCAAAAAGGCACATTCACTTAAAAAAAAACATAATTGCAATAATTGATGCAATCGTGTAATAATTTATGACTCAAATTGAATTTTCTAGGGATTTCCGGAGAAAATCGGGACAGTGTCCAAAACCTGGCGAGTGGAAGCTTTGTAAACAAGTTAGGATTTTTTCAGCTGTAAAAGCAGTTGAAATTGTTACTACACACATAAATAATTAAACTATATTATGTTGGTTTCCAGAAAACACTAAAATATCACAATGATGTAGCAACGACATAAAATTATAATTAAAAAGTATGGAACCAAACATTTTTTATTTAAGGTTGAACTATACTGAATAAAAAAATAAATCGTTATTTAAAAATTCTGAAAAAAATATCATAACTTTTTGATGGCCTTAGCAGCAATATAAACTGCTCAACAAAAGTTGAGGAAGTGTGCAATATTTACAATAATTAATTAAATTAATAAATTATTAAATAATAAATTAATAATTAATTAAAATAAGTAAGATAAAGGGAGATATCTTTTTACTTTTTTGTTTTTGCTAGATTCCACAATGCTTAGAAGAATAAAATTAATTTATTGTAAAAATAATGCGACTTCCTTAACTTTTGTAGAGCAGTATATATAAATTTGAAATTTTGTGTCCGCTCCGTTTAAAAATAAATTTAAAAAACCTCTATTTTTGGCCATTTTATTTTTTTATAAAAAAACTGTACGGAAGAATTTTTTGATTTATTTTTGGCGTATTGTATATTACCTACTTACGTTACTGTATTTTCATGCAATTTAAATAATGCGTTTTTTCAAAAAAAATTAAAACTAGGATAAAAATATTCCCAGATTGTGCGTTGCTTCAAAGCGCTACCTGATCCTAGTACCTTAAACTATTTATTTTTTGGAAAAACTAATTGATAAATGAAAATGAATATTTTGAAATTTTCTTTTATTTTTGAATTCTACAAAAAAAAAATTTTTTTTTAAATGGTAACCCACAATAAAACCATTTTTCTTATAAAGATTATGATCTAAGGATCACAACTAACGTGCGATCGAAGAGAAATTATTAGAGTAGGCGACGATTAATATTCTACAGTTGGCAACAATTTTTGCTGGAAATTTTCCACACAAACTGGATGTGAAAATGACCATTTACCATTTTCGTCTTGTACAGCATTTTTGTAATAACTTGCAACAATAAAAGTTTTCTGCTCTAAAGTGAACATTATTTCACTCAAAATGAATAAAACGCAAACTTGTCAAGAAAATGAAAAAAAATACATAATTTGCAATTTTGGCAAAAAACTCGCGTAACTCAAAAACAAAACAAAATTTCCCCCTCAAAATACGATAATATTTTACATATTACTTTAATTTATAATAATAATTATTTTCTGGAGACAAATAATTTAAAAAAAAACCGCTTGGTTCCATACTTTATTATTTTTGATTTCCGGTCACAGCCATTATTTAATCGCATGACGCCGAAAGTCAGCAAGTATAAAGTTTCTCATTGGATCGGTGGGCTCCATAAAATCATACTTTATAAACTTTTAGCGGGATATAAATCGATAAAATAAATTAAATTGCAGTTAGACTCCAGAAATCAATATCGGTGAGTAGTTATTTACGAATTATTTTCTTCTTAAAAGAATAATTTTGTAAATATAAATCTAATCACTAATATTGTCTTTGCGTTTAAAAATTAATATTTTAGTCATAGATTCGGAAATTAAGCCAATTATAGCCTTGAAAAAATTAAACATGGTACAAGTGTGATTTGGGGGAGGGATTTTTTGTCTGATGTTTGTATTGATCGTAAGAAATAAAATTGTAGAATAAGTAAATGTAAGAGGTAATAATTTTAATTAAATTTTGTTTTTCTTTAAAAAAAAACACTGTTTTTGGTATTTTAAAAGAAGAAATAAAACACAGTGTATTTTATAGACTTTTATTTGCCTTGGGAATTAATAATAATCGATAAATTTATTGTACAAAATAGAGCTAAATTAATCCTATCAATTAACATAAATGAGCCAAACATTACTTAACATACTTCTCCATAAATTTTTTATGAAAGTCTGACCTCAGAGAGTCATTAATGAACACATTGGTCTTCTTTTCGGGCTCAGATCTTGCACAATTTTTGAAAACCACATCATCGTCCCACCTCCTCTTCACCTTGTGGTCCGTTTTGGCCGCCCCGGAGGAATAATGCGTCAATAACGGATTCCCACTCAAGATATTCTCCATACGGATCCTCTCCTCCTCTTGCCTCTTTTCAATCTCCTTCTTGGCCTGCTCCATCGCCCTCTCCTTCTTGATCTTATTTAATTCAGCTAGTAGCGACTCCATATCATCCTCGCTCTCCTCACTATCCGAATCCTCTTCGTCCAAGGGATCGTCCGCGTCCAAACTGGCCGCAGGCACTTGGTCCAATTTCAGCCTCTTGTGATCGGACGGACGCGCCCCTCGAGACCCCTTGGCTTCCCTTTCGCGCTCCTCGAGCTCTTTGCGGAAATCCCGCGAGCGAATCTCCTCAACAGTGCCCTGGCCGTGCTCCCTGAGGAAACATTATTGTTATTTCGAGAAGAAGTGAGGTTATGTTTACCTGTATTTGAGTTTCGTGTGGCCGGGCAGATCGCGACTGGAATATTGGCGAGATATAGCACTGAGGTCCTTCTCGTTACGCCCCTGGCCCCCGCGGGCCGGCTCGAACGTGGGTCTAGCAGCGGTGGTCATTTTTGATCAAACAAACTTGACAGTTTTGACGTTTCACTTTAAACTTCAAATACGCACCAACTTAATCCAATGAAAGTAACCAAAAGTTGTTGTGGTTCTGTAAAAACGGTTTGCGACTAAGATACTTATAAATTTAAAAAAAAAACAAGAAAAATAAAAAAGTCACAGGGAAACTCGAATAAATAAATCATTGATGTATTGAAGTGTAATAGTTTAATACAACAATAAATTTAAGAAACATTAAGTCTATGAAAGTAAAATTATAAAAAATATAACTCGTCTGAATCATGAAAATAAAAATAAATGTCGCAGTAATGAGGTACAATAAATAACATCTGATGCTAAACAGAAACACATTTGGCAAGTTTCTAACTTAATAAATAATTCGAATGTTTGACATGTTGAAATAAAGGTATTGGCGGGAAATTCAAATGCATTAGTTTAACTAGATTTTACTAAAGATTAGTTTTCTTCATTTCATGTTAATTTCACAGCCCACACACAAAAACATTGACAATTTGTTAAAAAAGATTCATTCTTGTGGTTCTCCAGCAGAATCAAAGTCAAAAATTGAGCTCTCAGTCTTCAGAAACCTTTATAAAAGTACAAAACACGTATCAAAGACTATCCTGCTCTCTAAATAGCACTATTTAGCAGTGAGAATATCCGCATATTTTTTGAACTTTGAGTGTATAGTTACCAGATATACATAACCCTTATGCAATTTGACTATGAATTAATTAAATTAATTTCACAACAACAATTACGAATTCCTAGTTAATTCTTCATAAATTACATAGAAAACAAAACAGAAGATTATATTCATTCACATCAGCCCTCCTCGGGAAACAAACACAACTTTTGACATTATTTATGCGGTACTCGAATTTTGCGAAGCCCCACTTATCGCACTAAATAACGCCATACTATTCCTTTTGAAACTTCCAGTTTCATCATGGGGCCACAACGACTCCCCAAACAGGTTAGAAAGCGACGTACACAACTTCTTGTAATTTTGCCTCAACACTTCTTGGTATTCGTACTGGTCTTGCGATATTAATTTCCCATTTACTTGCAACGCCGAATAGCAAATTTTCAAAAAATCTCTAAAAAAGCAAATCAAAACAAACAACACAAGAATAAGCCACCAACCTGTAAATATCCTTCAACTCCTCGACTTTATCCTCAGGATACATATTGCACAGGGCCGGATCCAAAAACACAGACGCGTAAGCTAGTGGCCCGGCATTGACTTGCACACAAACACTTCCTTGTAGCAACAATTGCAGTTTTTTCGCATCGGTAGGTTCGGTGAAAACGACATCTTCCAACTCCTGGACCCGGATCTGCATTTCATTGATGGCTACTTCGATTGGACTGAGTTCGATTGTTCGTTTCGACGCGACTTTGATCCGTTTTTTGACGTACGGAAACGAGTATTCGGCTAAAAAATGATCGTTTTAGTTATACCTTACCGTGGAAAACGTTAATTTAACCATCTTTGTCGCACGATAGCAATTGTTTTTTCCTAGAAATTGTTGGAAAATTTGGAAGCACTAAAAGTAGAAAACGGCAAAAAGTGGAGATTGAGTGAAGGTAAGGAACAAAAATTCAATCATAATTCTATAAAGTAGTAGAGTTTCATAATGGAAAAAGGTCTAAAAGTGCCTAAATTAATCACTAAGAGTGCGTTGGATTTCAATCATTCAATCTGACACTTCTGACAGTTGTTGACATTTCGTCTCAAGAAAGAATTGCAAAATTAGTTTTTAATTTTAATTTACAAATATAGTCCTTATTTTTTATCACCAAAACGATTTATTTTCATTGTCAAATGAAGAATTAAATTTCTACAAATTGTCCAAATATTGTCAATTTATTGGTAACAGTACTTTTTTATTAACTTTGTTATGCTAAACAGGAAAAAGATATGATTTTTTCAAAGCCAATTGAGGAAACAAATTTAAATTTATCATTTTTAAAAGTCATATGAAAGCTTTAATTTGCATTTTTTTTGGAATCCATTGAGAAAAAAATTGACAAAATAGTCCCTTATCTAACATTAATTTTTCGTGACTAATTGGGAAAATTAATTAAAATTCATTATTTTTGCGCCTTTTTCAAAGCAAATTCAAATTGAAAAAACAATTTTTTATGGATAATCGGTGAGGTTATTAAAAAATCTTGAATTTAATTGGTTGGATACATTTGTTAATTTATTGGTACGATTACAAGGACCAATAATAATCATTTCCCTTTCAGGTAATTACCACTTGTGAGAACAAACCGGTTTTTATTTCTTATTGGCCAAAATCCGACAAAAACCTAGCACCACCCATTTAAAAAATCGTGAATAATTATTAAATTCTGAATTGAATTTTTATAACAAATCAGCGTTTAGTGTGATTGGATCTAATTTTGCACAATGGGTGGAGCCAACCCCAGAGCCAATATGAATCATGCACTTTCGATTAAACCAATAAAAAGTAAAAAATTATTTTATTCACTAATGTAATATGCCGATCACTAACCTTTTTAAGGTTGGGAAACATGTCATTATTTCTCATGAAGAGTAATAAATGTTACTCCTCTTGGGTGGTAATATGCAGGATTGCCAACGTTAAAATTACGAAAATACCCGAAATTTGTTCTTTTAAATTATCAAGTTACGCATAATATTTCGATAAATTAGTATTCAATTGCTTTTGTAGCAGTTTCTCTTAATTCTGGGGGAGTACATTGCTCCATTTCGACGACTTTAAATTAGATTTACACATCATTTCAATATTTTCTTTGACATTTCTGAAATGTCAAAAATCAAACGTCATTTGGATGGCCTACCACGTTTGGACCTTAACATTGTTAGAACTTTATTTTACTCAAATTTTTGACTGAAAATAATGTGATTGTGAATAAAATAGCATACAAACCTCGGTGGTAATGGCATTACCCCTTGTGCTTTATCCAATCTCGAGGCTAGCGCCTCTCGATGGCATACATAAGCACTCGGGGTAATGCCATACCACCTCGCTTGTAATGTACTATAATGCATAAAAATTAGTGTCATTGTTCGATCTTTAGCCAATCAATTATGTCTTTGAAAATCAACCAATCAGAAGATGTCTTAGATTTTTCGACAAAAAAAATAGAAATAACTAAAATTTTTGTTTTAAAAATCGGCTTCTTTGCTTTTATTGTCAATATAAAAAATAATTATTTGAAGAATAAACGTTAATTAATTTTCTTTACTGTCAAATGTCCAAACTAAATATGATTTTGAAAAATTTACATAACATATTTACATAACATAAAAATGTGTATTTAGTACATTTATTGTGTACTAAAATTTGTATATTGCTCAATTTTTTGATTCAAAAACACTGATTCAAATCGGGTTTAGCGGTTTAAGCCTTTATTTGTCAATTTTTTTTTTAAATACATAATACGACAGACTGATTTTTTCCATACAATTAGTGCAAAACGGTTAAAAAAATCAAATTTTCAAACAAGATTTTTTTGTTTGTCACCAGCGGTACCTCACTTAGAATGAATTACTGCCAACATTAAAAATTTGAACAAAATCGTTTAATAAATATTGAAATTAAAGCAATTTTGTAGTTGTAGTGCTAAGCTAGCCCCAAAATTCACAAATGAGGGATAAAACCGCTTGCCAAATCTTCGAAAGAAATTTCAAATTCTACAGATTGATTCTTTATGTACAATCAGTGCAAAATTCAGAACAATTTGAATGATACCAGGGCCGTAATGAACAATTTTCTGATTCAAAATGGTCCAAAAAAATTCAAATTCTCAAACAACAGACCATTTTTTGTGTTTTTAGCCAGCGGTGGCTCACTTAGAATAAATTACAGAAATTTTAAAAATTTCAAGAAAATCAGTCAACGATTAATGAATTTTTTTTTAGTTGGAGTACTAAGCTAGCCCTAAAATTTACAAATAAGGGCTAATCTCCACCTAATACGTAAAATCACCAAATTTTTTGTTGTGTTTTTACTTTTGAGAATTGTCCGTCTTTTCCACTGCTCCTCCGGATTCCCTCTAGCTTTCCCGTCTTTTGTAAACGGTGTTTCGAACATGAAAGTATCAATGTCATGGTTTTGCTCGAATTCGTTTTGTCGATCTTCCAAATCGGTTTTCTCCAAATATGGGGTCACATGGGTCACTTGTATGTAAGCCAATTTAGCGTCCAATTCGTTCACATTTACCTAAATTGTTTTAATTTAATGTTGTTTCATGTTAAAATGGTCAAAACTCACCGGTGTCGAATCCTGAATCATTTTGACGACATCCTGTCCAAATTTATCACAGTATTGCTTCTGTAACCGTTCCGAAATCTCACTCAACGACGTCACTTTCGGCTCCTTGTACACATACTCCACTCCACTGTCCTCCTCAAAGTAGGCCTGTCCGTAAAACCCCACCCTGTAGTACCTCCCCAGCAGCCTCCTCCCACTCTTATTCGCCTGCACCACCTTCTCGTAATTCTGCGCCAGCGTCTGATACGACTTCATCAACATCTCATAATTCCTCGCTTTCTCATAAATCGGCACAATCAACTTATACAACTCGCCCATAATTTCATACCTCTCCGATTTATCAACATATTGGACGCAGGTTTCCAGCTGTTCCAAGAGCACAATCTCGGTGTATTGCACATCTAGGACGCCGGCGTCCAACTTGAGGCCCTTTTCATCGCGCGAGATGTTCGACGACATCTTTGCGAACACTTCGGCGCCCCACGATTGGATGCGCTTCAGTTTGAGGTACTCGGCCATGAGGGCGGCGATGTGCAGTTGGCAGCAAGTGGCCTCGGAGAAGTTGGAGTCACGGAGATGATTGCGGGTCATCGTCTCCAACCAAGTGCGACGCAACTCGGGCGTGGAGGCGTAGGAGTTGGCAAGACTGTGTTGCAGGTCTACCAACATCTCCGGGTCGTGGTGGTGTTCGCGCATTAGGAGGGTTGCCATGAGGACGGTGCGGATGCGTTTCGTCAAGTCTTTCACCTCCACAGGAAAACCTAAAATAAACAGATTAAAACTATGATGAAGGTAATGAAAGCATAACAATGTGTTGGGAAACCACGCATTCGAAGTTAATCGTGCGTGGAATTAAAAAAGTCGAAACTCTCTACAGGCTGTTCCGTCTAAACCCCACTTTAGAAGTATTGGGAGTTGGAATAATTGTATTTATTTGAAAATTGGTACATAGCCATAAACCATTAAGTTCTCCTAAATGAAAATATTTTCAAGATGGCGGCACTTCCGGTTATACCGGAAGTCGGTCTAAACTTTCTTATTTTAAATGAAAAGGTATATTTTTACTGCGTTTTTGGATTAATCGGGTTATTTAAAGGGAGTTTTCATCAGCTTTCCCTATGCCTAAATTTAGCTGTTTTTGAAATATTTGGAGTTTTTCAAAAATTTTTGGATTTGCACCTTCCACTTTAAAAACCGGTAACTCTGCCATTCTTTAAGATTTTAAATTCGTTTTTTTGGCGTTTGAAAGAGAAAGCTTAGATCCTTTTTCTAATGTTTTCAAATTTTGAAAAAAAAAACATATCCCAAAATTTTAAGGTTACTTTTGTAATAATTCAAATACTCATAACTCAATTTTTTCAAATAAAATACCCCAATTTTTATTTTACTAAATAGAGGAGAATTTAATTGTGCATTGATCTGTATTAACATTCCCTATACCTAAATTTAATAATTTTCAAGTTATGGACTTTTTTTTAATACTACAGAAAATTTATTACTAGCCATACCCGTTTTCACATAGTTTGCTATGGAAATCAAAAATGTCAACTTGTTTCTCAGTAAACGTCGACAGTGACTTATTATTTGCCAAATAGTGAAAAAATATGGAGAATAAAAGTTATGCAAACTTAATTATTATTGATAGGTTCTACCATGCAATCATTATTTAAAGCTAACAAGTGAGAAAAGTTTATTTTTGTTTAAAGAACGACATCATAATTTTGTTACACTCTCCATAAATACAAAATAAATTAATTAAATCTAAGTTTGAGTAGCTTTGTCTCTCCATATTTTGGCACTATTTGTCAAATAATAAGTCGACATTTATTGAGAAACAATTTTGACATTTTTTATTTCCATAGCAAACTATACGAAAACGAATGTGGCTAATAACAGATTTTCGGCAGTCTCAACAAAAAGTCACCATATCTTAAAAATTATTAAGTTTAGGTATAGGGAATGTTAATACAGATCGATGCAGAATTAAATTCTCCTCCATTTAGTAAAATAAAAATTGGGGTATTTCATTTGAAAAAATTGAGTTATGGGTATTTYAATTATTACAAAAGTAACCTTAAAATTTTATGGTTTGTTAACTTTTTTTTCAAAATTTGAAAACACCGAAAGAAAGATCTAAGCTTTCTCTTTCAAACGCCAAAAAACGAATTCAAAATTTTAAAAAATAGCAGAGTTACCGGTTTTTAAAGTGGAAGGTGCAAATACAAAATTTTTTGAAAAACTCCAAATATTTCAAAAACGGCTAAATTTAGGTATAGGGAAAGCTGATGAAAATTCCCTTAAAATAACCCGATTAATCCAAAAACGCAGTAAAAAATATACCTTTCCATTTAAAATAAGAATGTTGAGACCGACTTCCGGTATAAGCGGAAGTGCCGCCATCTTGAAAATATTTTCATTTAGGAGGACTTAATGGTTTATGGCTATGTACCAATTTTCAAATAAATACGATTATTGCAACTCCCAATACTTCTAAAGTGGGATTTAGACGGAACACCCTGTATATCTTGTGTCTCTACAATAAAGTGAAATATGTATACAGGGACATTTTTTTAACTCTGAACATAGCCCTAACTTCAATTTGTCTACAATTTAAGAGCAACCAAATGAAAAATTGCTTTATTTTAATAAAGACTATGAGAAAACAGCAGAGAAATTACATGCAGATAGAATGTTAAGTATATTTCACAGTAAAAAATTATGTAGCAAAAATTTCACCAATAACAATTAAAAATTTTTTTTTGCTTCGCCTAATTTTTTTGACTTTTTTTGAAAACGTTGCACATACGATTAAAGATAGGAAAAAGTGTTTTGACTGTCTGTAGAGCTGAAAATAGTATGATGTGGGCGACTTTTTTAAAGCAAATTTAGTTCTCTACAAATTTGTCCTTTACATTTTCTTTCTATGTTTAATCGTATGAGCAGCGTTTTTAAAAAAAAATCAAAAACGTAAGACCAAGCAAAAATTTGTGTTTTTATTTTTTTTTTTAATTGTTGTTTTCAGTGAAACTTTTGCTTTATCTTTATTTCTTATTGTGTATTTAACGTTGTTTCTGGCTGTAATATTTCTATTTGTTTTGTCATCATCTTCATTTAAACAAAGCAAATTTTATTTCGTTGCTCTTAAATTGTATAGAGATATTAAGACTATCATTGAATGACAGCAATGGATTGATCTGTGTTTTTTTAAATTGAACAGAGTTAAAAAGATGTCCCAGTATAACTAAAAAATATTAAAACATCATAAAAATGTGATGTTTTATCAGGAAAAATTTTTGGTTTTGTTTATGAGTTCTGTAAAAATTTTTCCTACGACTTTAACAGAAAGTAAATTTATAAGTTGAAAAAAATCGCAATAATTCGAAAACAACAAAATTTCAATTTCAAAACACGCTCATTTTATAGCATTTAAATTTCATTCATTATTATTTTCTGAAAGCAAATAAAATATGCGCTACTCCATTCCATACATTTTGCTCACTTTGTATTTTTTATTTAAAAAATTTTTAAATTTAAATTTTTAGATCAGAGTGGCCAGTAATTCTGAAATTACATTGGCAGCATTGAAGAAGAAACGAAAGAGGTAAAACATCAAATTTTATATCTTGAAAGTAGTTTTAGTCACATACCACTTAATACTAGAAATGTTCTATATTTCGTTTCCAAACATCGTAACATTTCCTTTTTTTCACACTTTATTGATAAAAAAAAATGTTCAACTGCTGTTGTGATGCTATAAAACTGTACCCAAATAAAAATTTTCCGTTCAAATAGCAATTTTAAAAAATAGATAGGAGTATATTTAATTTTTGTTTCTGGTGGCAACTAGAAGAGTTAAAAAAAATATTTCAAAAACATCACACAAAGTTAAAATATTACATTAAAACAGAAAAAAAATGGAAATTAAAACACAAAATTAAGCAGAAAATTATTGAAAAAAGGTAAGTTTTAACAAAAATTATACATTTTCTGTTTTATATACGGAAACTAAAATTTTAAAAAACCTGTAGCGCTACCAAAAATACCATAAATCGTGTATTACGTAATTATTTCGCGGAATGAGAACTTTCCGAAAATTATTCAAACATTAAAAAAATATTAAAAAATATTTGCAATTCTTCGTTTTTAGACATTCAAACTTCCCAGAAGTGTTGTAATTGGAATGCAAAAAAAATAATTTTGCAACATAAAACAGAATAATTCAATTTAGATTAGGATTTAATAAAATTATTTTTTCGTTAACCGTCTGTTAATGTCAACATTAATGAATGGTTTTGTCTAGAGAAAGATATATTGATGGACGTCATTAATACACTTTTCGATTTCGAAGTTTTAACATGGACAACCAGATATATGCACAGAAAAAAAAACAGTGACAATAACTTTAACATTATATCTCAACTATTAAAGAATCTCGATTAATAATCGCCTTCATTAACAAACTTGTTTATTAAATAACTATTAAAACTATTTTTTTTTCTAATACTCTCTAATACTATAATTTTATTAATATTATAGCACTGAGCAATTTGTTTGACCAATATCGCTTATTTAAGGCATTTTTTTTAACTTCATTTTTTGACAAATCTGTGTGACAAATGTCATAATTATTATAAAGCCAAATTCAAACTAAATTAAAAAAAAAAATGATTACTTGATTTTTCGACTCGTCCTATTTATTTATGTTCACTACTGTACAGGGTGCTGCATTTTGGATGTCCGAATAGGGAATCTCCGAAACTAAGAGGTTTAGCCAAAAACGAATACATTCTGGGTCTCATTTTTTGAGAAAATAATATTGGTTAAAACCTCATCCCGCTATCGTCTTTTGTTTTCGACTTATAGACAAAAATTGACATTTTGGCGAAATCTAAAAAAATTCATATCTTCGTTATTATAGAAGATACGGATTTGAAATAAGGACATTATAGAGGCAGTTTTTTACGAGGAATTTAATAATGTAGTTAACAATTTTTTTCAATTATTAGTTTAGCCGTAATAAGATAAACTTGTATTTTTTTAAATGGAAATCATAGGCGACTATGGCAATTTTGAAAATCTTATTTTTTTCTGATCTAAAAAATATATATTTGTAACAAAATGTTTTTTTTTTAAACTTACTTAAAAAGTGAAATACATATTTTGTGTGATAATAGTTGGCCATGGAAAAACTATTTCACTCCAAATGTGTAAAAAATAATCAATAAGAGTTTTGTGAACTGTAAAATAGATAAAAAAATAGATAAAATTATAAAGATTTAAAAGATACGGTAGAAGCATTGAACAAATATCCGAGCGCCTCAGAACAAAATTATTACATATTTTTAAAAAATCCAAAAATAGGAAAAACAAATGTGTCAATAGTCAACACAATTAGAAAAAACATTTTTTTGATGATCTAATGGAGGTAGGATAACGTTTCACATAGATGGAATTTGGGTATTTGAATAGAAATATCGWRATTTTTGTGTCATATAAAATARATTTTATTGAAGAATTAAAGCGGCTTTTTTTWKKA